AACATAACATCGCGCGATTCCGCGCGACTGGCATCGAATATACAATAATTTAATAACGAGCTTCTCTAATCTTCCTCATTACACTTAAATTATCGCGAGAACGCGAGCTTGCGACAATTATGGGCAGTTTTCACGATCAATATCACGAATATCTCAACTCAAAGTCAAGATATATACAGAATACATCTTCCTTTTGCAATAGATTTTACATATTTTTATTCGATTATGTTTCTCCTTTATATTAGTATATTATAGATTCGTAATTAGTGATGGGCTAACAGAACACCTTGAATTATTTTGGATATGTGACAGAAGTTTTAAACTTTTACTTTCAACATTATTTAAAAAAATTCTTTTTAATGTGAAAATTTTTAATATTTGCAAAAGGGAATAAAATGCCCATCTGCAAGCTTAATACATATATATATATATATATCAATCTTTTAAATATATTAAAAATGAAATAAATAGTTATACGGGTAATATCTATAAAGGAGATTTAAATTAAACTTTAGAATGTTAAAATTTAATTGCGCGAACGAACATGGTTAAGCAATAAATTTCCAACAGGTACAATTGGAGTCGACGAAAGCTTATAAGCATCGGATCGACGTCTCGCCTCGAAATTCGAAACGAGAACGACGTATTGAGAAACGAATCCAGAAGCGAGCGCCGATAATAATCCTCCAATAAATGGTGAGATATTGAAAAAGTAATGGCAACCTAGTGCGATGCGCGGATATGAGAAATACGTAACGGATTGTAACGCAAGTTATGGGATTTCCATGTAATCGTCCGATAAATCCGCCGTATGCTTAAAAAGAAATATCGTGTTTAAGCTTAATTCAGAAGTGAGTGTGATAAAAATTGATGGCATGGCTCTCGTGTGGTTAGCGCCGCGGCCTCGTAAATTCTGCATAACGGTGCAACGTTACGGAAACAACGGTAGCTCGGGCTGCTCTCGAGAGTACGAGGATCGATAAGCTGGTCTCCTTCGGCCGAGCTATTGAGCTATGCCAAGCTTAATTCCGTCCCACGATAGCTTTAATTGTTTACTTGTCCGCACTATGCCACTGCACAGTTGTGCAGCAGTGATAATAATTTATAACAATTAGCGCGGTTTCCATATTAATCATGACAATTTCCTCATTCGTACTTTCTCTTAAATTTATCTATATTAATACACGTAATTATTTTACATTCTTATTTTCGCTACAACGTCGTTAATACAAATGAAGCATAAATATCTGATATTGAAATAAAATTGCAAACTGTTGAGATGAGCATTTCTTATTTTAATTTTTGTTTCTATTAAATTTTGGATTTATCTTTGGCAGTTTTATCAAATAATCTATTAAATTTTAAAAATGTATTTGTGTGATTGTTATTATAATATATATGAAGTTAATTACACTGTTAATCACAATGACTTTGCAATTCAATATAATCGGTCAGTAATTATTACATATATATTTTTACGAGATTTGTATATATATAAATATATATATACATATTTATTCATATTTATATATTTATATATATAATTATTTTAACAACTACATCATTTTATAATAGACTTTTTTTTAGCAATAACTTGATAATTAGCAACAAATTTGCTATAGAGTTATATAGTATAAAAAAAATTAATAAAATAAATATAATTATTGCATTTCAATAAATGCATTTGAAAAGAAAATAATTGTTTTATATTGTTTCAAATGTTTTGTTGAAATTTTGTAATCAGATTAAATTATTACTTTTACTTATTATATAATTCTATAGTTGTTATTATCAATCTATTAAACTAGAAGGAAATGATAAACTCTAAATTAATAATACGTTTTGTTATGCTAAAACGTATTGCTAAAACGTATTGAGAATTGTATAATTCGATTATGTTGATAGCTTATCATTAGCTGGCATTCTTAATTCTAAACGACTGTAGAGAAAACGTTCGAGAACTGCAGATTGAATGTGAAATTATCACGGTACATCGATATCACGCGTTATTTGGTTCAATAGTTTAGACTTTAGCGCATAAACATGACGATTCGCTATTTATCCATCTTCGCAGAGCCAGCTTAATCGCTGACATCTATTGTCATTTTATATTTACTAACCAGAAACATATACGACATGCACTTCTACCTATCGTTTTTCAAGTCATACGAACGAGCGATAACCGATTCGCTCTTAGACATAAATCTTCCATAATATGATTATTTGTATCAGTGAGATCGAAAAGCGCATAAGAAAAATTTTATCTAAGAGTTAGTTGCAATCAGAATCTTTTTCTCTAAAGTATTGGAAATAACGCAAGTCAAATCAATCAAATTTTGCATTCAATGCTGTAGATAATAAAATTCTGTAACCAAGTTAATAAAAATTATATCTACGCGATTTCCGATCATACTGACTCATTTAAATTGAATACACTTAGATGACACTCTTGTTTAAAATTACGAGCAAAGTTCTGAAAAGCATCTGTCTCGAATTATTTAAAAATTTGATATTGTGAATAAAAATACATATACCTTAAAATATCCATCTATTTGGTGCTATTTTATTTAGATGGTAAGTTAAATTAGTACACAAACCAGAAATTCTTTTAATGGAAAAATATGCTTATTGACTTATTGACAATAATCGGGGCAAGAATCTTTTCGGAACTTTAGCCAAAATTACTTATTATAAATACACACGATGTTGTTGGACCGGTCTCAAGCAATTTGTGTAGACGTCGATTCTCGGTAACATGCGCATGGAAATTTTGGAGCGGTACATCATTTCCCCTTAAATATTAGAAAATTTGACAGATGTCTATGCAAAAATTTCGCAATAAGAAAAGTGATTCGTAATGCTTAGGTATTACAATTATTGTTAGTCTTTATCTTAGTTTTTACTTTTAATTTATTCGACAATTATGCAAAAATTGATTGGTCTGATCTGATTAGTAGATCAATTGCTAACGACCTAAGAAAATTGGCAGTTACCTGTTTGCGTAGCCGCTTTAAAATTCCAGACGCGAGCACGAAGATTTCGGTGATTTTGTTACGCGGGGTGACAGAAGAAGACGATACGTCGACGTCGCGACAGCGTCACGACAATCGCGAGCTTTACGTGACTCGAGCTGAGGCGGAATAATACAGGGTGTCTTGAAATGTTTATAAATTTTGAAATACAAGTATACTTTTCCAAATAGTTTTTAGCAAACATTCTTTCGCAAAATGCTGTACTTTCAACTTTGTGATAAAAAATTGAGATAATCTCGTATAAAAGAGAATATTAAAAAATTATAATAGCACTCGAATTTTTATTAATCTAGATACACTAATAGGCAACTTCTCTACCATATATATTATTTCTAATCACATCAACGGCATTGAGTTACTTTTCCACATAATGCACACTTACCGCTATTAACATTAGCCTCTTTCTTCAAAACACCCTGTATGTAAAGCTTCCGGAAGAGGCAAGAGCGAATCTCGGGAAAACTTCTTCTCGCGGAACGGCATTATCACCAGACAGTTCTGCATGAGGTTGCTGCGTCGGTGGAACTCGAAATCGTCGAGAGCATACCTCACTCTCTCTCTTTTGACACAGACACACGAGGGTATAAGCACCCCGCGGTCTCCGCATCTCCATTTCTCTTTCCGTAATCCTCGCTCTTATCGGTGGGGCACGAGCATCGAGATGTTCTCCGTGATAACGCAATTCAAGGGAACTTTTCTGATGGACAAGTATCAAGAAGGAGTGGGCGAGGGAGCTTTAGCGACGCTCGAACATCGTTCAACGTGGTCAAAGGAATGCCGAGGGCTGAGCGTCTCTCGGATATTGGAAAAGTATTTACGGCAAATCCTCAACATGGCATTCGTGCGAGATTTCGATATTCCGTCATTCTTAATCTCTTTCTGTTGCGGATTTCGCGGAGATTTACGCCATTAAAAGGGGTGACCACGTGTTTTTGCAACAGGCGTTAAGTGGGCGGGATGATCTCAACAAGCTGAAAACTTTGCCACCACTCTTTTTCTAACTCGCGATAAAAGTTGTTCGTATAAACTTATATCCGCGACTGTTTCCGTATTATAAAGAGTAATGAGAATACGACGAGTAATGTAATAATGTAAATTAATGCAAAAATTATTTATTTAAATTAGCATAAATATAATTAAGATACACAGCGATAAAAAAAAATTTAATGAAAAAATGCTATTAAAACTACTCTAATTAGCAAACTTGTCGCGAGGAAAACATTAGAACTTATGATATCATGTGAAAAGAAAATTAACCTCACTGTGTACACATATTTTATTCACGGCAGTGAGGAGGAATATTCTTTTACACGGTAAACTTTTTACACTTGTGTTCTTTTTTGCGGCTCTTACAAAGCACTGTTGATTAAAAACTTTACGAAGCGGCAAAGAGCGAGGCTGATGTCTGGGATAAGAGAAATCACCTAATGGGTAATTCATTCTCGGAGCAGGAACAAACGACGAGGACGTCGCTAAAAAATATTCGAGTGGTCGACGATCCGGGATCTGTAAGGGAACGCACAGCGGAAGAAGCTTCCGTAAGAGCCGTAGATGATATCAATGTTCCTCCGCTCGATCTTGCTTCCCTCGCGATCTGATCCTCTTAAGGTCGTTGGTGGCGCCGAATCGCAAATCTTGTCGACGAGATTCGTTCTTTCTGTGCGATTACTTCAGACCGGGAAGTCTGCGAGTCTAAGTCGCAATTCCGCATTTGTAATGTTGATCGAATATCCATAATAAACGACGTTTAAGTTAATTGTAGAAGAAATCTTCGATGTCAATGATAGAGCGTCTGTGTCACGGTTATCATTTTAACTCTTTGGATACGATATTTTCTTTTTCAATTACTTAACATAATTTTGTATATTATTCGATATATGCTGAAGAAACGCTAGAGAGATAAATAAAAGGAAATAATATAATAAGTTATTTAATAATTATATCATATAAATAATAATTTTTCTTTGAAATTTAAAGAATTACTCTCCTTAGTGTATTTTGCTTTGTAATTATTAATTAAAACTTACAATATCAAACAACTCGATTCAAAATTTTTTGAAAGAGAAATTGATTTCGCGATTAAAAAATATTCGAGAATTAAATTATACAGAAAATTATAAGAGAGAGCGATGCGCTGACTTGATCCAATGCGCGAGTATTTTAGTGAAATATAATTAACGTGACATGCATCGAGTGCAGTCGACGGATTTTCGCATTCGGCGATGTTTGAGATTATTTGCGCGCAGCATCCAAAGTGTTAATAATCGTGTTAATTAGTCGAGACGGAGAGACACTCGAGTGGCTGGCGATCGCATTTCGGGATCGATCGTCCATCTAATTCACTACTGCCAGGATCTAAAGAGAAAGCTCGATGAGAGAAGACCGACGAGAGTCGTCCAAGTGATGAGATCAAGCGCGCCCCTTCTAAATCCGGCGCCGCCATTCACGCAAGTCTCCCGGATGCTGCCGATCTGTAGGCCGCGGCGACCCAGCAGATTGTGAACGCCTCGTTTGTCGCTCTTCTGTAGGAAATTGTGCTCGCGCGACAATAGGAGCGAGTAGAGTTGAGAGTCGGGACTCCGGGCGCAGAAAGTCAACACCATGTCCGACGCGACGGCCTTCATTACGTGCACGTTGCCGGCGAACTGCCTGTACTCCCGCTCTGCCAAGGTGCCTGTAAATTAAATCAGCAGCCGGTTAAAAAGCAGCGACGCGCGATACGCAAGGAGAGAGACTTCACTATCGAATTTCCTGCCCCGGCTTTCGCGAGTCAGTTCCATCCGTTGCACAGAGTAGAATCTCTTGTACAAACGGAAACTGTCGCGACTGCAGAAATAAGTGTCTGTCGACGACAATTCCATTTTTGCGAAGTAGTTTCATTTTTGCGAAGAATACTCTTATATGAGATAGAAAGAAAGGTAGAAATGGGACATCTTGTACGTGAGAATTTTTATTTCATACGGAAACAATTTGCGAATCATAGAAAAGAAAAATTGACAAAGTGTAGGTTTCTTGTTTAAAGAGTTCTAGTAATGACACAATTTTCTTCAGTGATATTCGAGAAAAAGTTTTAGAGTCCTACCTGACAGATTTTTAACCAGATTTAACTATGTATTGATGGCGGGAGCGACGAAGGAAACTTTTTGAAGAGGGTATCTAAGATGTTGTCAAACCAGAAGAGCACGACAATAAAGAGCAATCAAGCAAATCGGAAGAGATTGACTTTCCAATTTTGTTTTGTATTTATTAATATGCTAATAAGGAGAAATATTATTTAAAGGTTTTTCTACATACAATTTTAGAAATATTAAAAAATATTTGTTAATGAAGTAAGAGTGGGATTGAAAATCAATATAATACGATTATAAAACAACTTTACAAGTTAAATTTGAATCAAGAACGCTGTAGACGTGACTAAAAAAATAACAGGAGAACTTGTTGACATCGCCGACAAGATTTTCTGCTGTTTTTCAGTCACGCGTCTACATCCAACGTTCCTGACTCGAATATGTTCTCTATAGAATCATTTTTAACCAAATATTTTAAAAATTTCTTTAAGCTCTTAATTATCGATCGATAATTTTCGATAATTTTATCAAGAAACTCGACATATATAATGTATTATATAATGAATTTTTTTAAAGATTGAATTAATCTTCTTATTATATAATATTTGAGAAGCAATCAAGTATTTCAAATAATAAGTAAGAAAGTTGCAACAAAAGTTGATGAGAGGGCACGAAATTAAAAAGAAACCAAAGTGTTTTCTCTGGAAATTCCCACGGCGAGTAACAAATAGTGTACAATACCATTGTATTTAGTATCATTTATCACTGGGCCTGGCACTTTTATCTGAACGCATTTAATGGACTAAGTCGCGGCTTTGACAAATGTAAGCTTCTCAACCACTTCACCAGGAATTCCGAGATATAAACTCCAAGCTGTGCAATGTTTAATCTACGGAAATATTTAATCTGAGGGAAATAAATTGACTACCGATTGGTATTTTATCTAAACCTCGGCAGTATTTTTGATCCAAATATTATTATTTACTTTTTAAAAAATGTAAAATTTGATTCCATCTCTATTTTTTTTTCTCTTTTACGATTCGCATAAATGTTTCTACATCAAAAGCTTCAACTTACGTGTTTTTCATCGAAACAAATTAATTAAGTCATATTACTTTTTCCAAAGAAGGTACTTAAATAATTGAAATTGCAATGATTTTGATTCCACTTGCTAGCGTAATTTAGATGAATTCGACGATTATCTGTGACGATCTGTGGAATATACGAGTGTACGAGCATCGTGGAAATATGCAATATTACGTCTCATTACATCGTTGAGAATGTACTTAACGTTATGAAGGGAAATATACGGAGACGAGACGGCAAGCACGTGTACAATCTATATGCGCAATGTGCTGCGACCATAAGCATGCATATGCATTCCATGTTCGCGGGACCATCGCGATGTAGGAAAGGTATTTCACCAAGGATAGCACTTTAATACCTGGCATTTAGAAGCATCCGCGTTTCCGAAGGGAAGCGTAATCGACTTATATACAGGAGGGAGAATCTACTTCTACCGGATCAACCGTTAATCTTTGATAAATCTTTGATAACTGTGGAGTCGAGACTTTTCCTCCGCGGAAATGTTGGAAGAGAGGGAGAGAGAGAGAGAGAGAGAGAGAGAGAGAGAAAAAGAGAGTATGTCATGACTTTTCCATTTTCGATATTAAATATTTTCAGGGATAATAATCAAATTAAAATCGTGTTAAAGTAACTTATATCGTTACCGTTACTCTTAAATTGTAAAATCCTCTTTGCAAACTTCTTTTTAAAAAGTTTTCGGACTCAAAAGACTTTAAAATTTATACTCTCCTGCTCCTTGAATATGTAGAGAGAGAGAGAGAGAGAGAGAGAGAGAGAGAGAGAGAGAGAG